ATGACTCTATATATATATATATATATTTGTATATATAGTTGCCTATCTTACGCAAAAGTATTTTTGGATGTAGAGCGCATGTTTTAACCTTAAGGACATAATTATGTAGAGTGAGTTCGTAGTCAGGTCTCCCGCTCGTTTATCAGTGCATAGTGGCAATCATGTTCGTCACCATGGTTACAGACTCGGTCGCTTGTCCTCTTGGACTTGCCGTATCTGTGTGGTTCAGCGTCCACTGGGTCCGTCCGCCTGTGTATGTGTTTACTACGCAAAGCCATTTGAGCTTGCAGAGGATAAATAAATAGGGTTGTCTCGGAAGAAAGATAGCTAGATAAGATAAGCACCGGTATAGGTATTTGTCTATCTTTAGTAATACTAATAGCAATAGTTGGTTTGCAGTCAAATACGCAGGTTGTGAGAAGTTCGTGTATAAACACGTATCCAAACGCGTGATAGGCTTTCTAGGCTCTGATCCATCAATCAATCAATCATATATATATAGGTTGTGCGTTATCGAATTAGAGGAATGTAAATAAGGCAGATGGGGTCGTTGTCGTATCAGGTACTACAGATATGTGCCCGAGGCAGTTTTAGGTTGTTTAGTATTATGTTTATATTTTTATATGAGGTATGTTTAGGGTTAGGGTTAGGGTAAGGGTTAAGGTTAGGGTTAGGGTTAGGGTTAGTGTTAGGGTTAGGGTACACTTCTGTAGTACAAGTCTGGTACACTTTGTGTATACATATATGTACCTCGGGTACATATCTGTAGTACCTGATACGACAACGACCTCTTGAGCGTAAATAAGTGACGCGACGCTTTATTTTCACACGCGATAGATTTGTTATTAACGACGCGAACGTTGTAGTATCGAGTTTTTTCTTACTGCAGCCCATGTAAGCATTATTTACCGTCAGCAAAAATCTTGTCAGTGCAAACTCCTGCCGTTATTATCAGCAGTTATAGTCTTCATCACTGACATAGATCGTCTGCACCGACTTATCGTCTCGTGCACTGTTCGTCTGCTGAGAGAGATTGTCGGAGCGCTCGAGTTTGCGTTGGTAGTATTCCGTGATCATCCACCTCGTGTGCGTGTGTCTACATTCGCTGTGAGTACACATGACTTGTACAAATGTGCGATGTGCGATGTGCGAGTGAGTTTACAGTCTGCTAAATACACCGAGGTAGAAGGAATCGCAGGAGAGGTAGGAGGGACTGTCAGATGTGTGTTCTGGTGACTGTTTGATGTATGTTCTGATGACTGTTAGATGTGTGTTCTGATGACTGTTTGATGTATGTTCTGATGACTGTTTGATGTATGTTCTGATGACTGTTCGATGTATGTTCTGATGACTGTTTGATGTATGTTCTGATGACTGTTCGATGTATGTTCTGATGACTGTTTGATGTATGTTCTGATGACTGTTTGATGTATGTTCTGATGACTGTTTGATGTATGTTCTGATGACTGTTCGATGTATGTT